TGCCGGCTGTGCAAGAATGCGCGTGTGAGTGCCCACAGCTCTGCAGGTTGTGTGCATGTGCGCTTACGTGCCCATTGACAGCCTCACTGCAGGGGCTGTGTGTGCACGAGTGTGTACGCCTGCCCCGCCGTACAGCCCCCCTGCACATTGCGCGTGCGGGCTCATGCATTTTTATGCACACGCGGAGCCTCACTGCAGGGTGCCTGTGTGTGCGACTGTGTGCGAGTGCATGTGTGTACACACACCCAGGCAGCATCACTGCAGCGCGTGCGTGTGTGTGTGTGTGTGTGCACATGTACAGCCTCGCTGCAGGGTGTGTGCGCACACGTACGCATCAGAGGGTTCATACGCACAGCCCTGCTGCAGAGAGCGTGTGCGCGTGTGTGTGTGTGTGCACATGTACAGCCTCACTGCAGGGTGTGTGTACACACGTATGCGTCAGAGGGTTCATACGCACAGCCCTGCTGCAGAGAGCGTGTGCGCGTGTGTGTGTGTGTGTGTGTGCATGCACAAGCACAGCGTTGCTGCGAGGGGGGGATGTGCATGCACAAGCACATCACTGCACTGGGACTTGGTGTGTCCACCTGTGTGCACGCACAAGCACAGCGCAGGTGGAAGGCATGCAGGTGTGCACGCACAAGTATAGTGTTACAGCAAGGCGGTCATGTGTGTGTGTGCGTGCACGCACAAGTGCATCGCTGCGAGGTGTCTGTGTGTGCGTGCACGCCCAAATACAGCACCGCTGCAAAGTGGTCGTGCGTGCGGCCGTGGGTGTGTGCGCACACATACGCACTGCCGCAAGGCGTGTGCACGCACAAGTGCCTCGCTGCAAGGTGGTAGTGCGTGTGTGCGTGCACCATCACAGCATCGCTGCAAGGTGGGGGGGCGTGCACAGCCCCGCTTCAGTGTGCGCCTGTGCGCCCGTGTGTGTGTACACAGCCCCGCTGCAGTGCGTGTGTGTGTGCGCACACACTCACGGCATTCGTGAGTTCACGTGCACCAGGGTGTTTTGGTGATGCACCCAGCCTTGTGCAGCACCCATGGGTGCTGACAGACCCTGGGGTGCTCCCAGACCAGGGCTCCCCCTGCCCAGCACCCCACCTGTGGCCGCATGCCCGCTGCGCCGTGTGGCCGTGGGGATCGATGGCAGCAGCGGGAGCCCCAAGGTGACCCCGCGAGGCGCCAGACACCCATGCCGCTGCAGGGGGGCCATGCTGCCACCCGCTCCCACCTCTCCCCAGTCACCTGCTGGTTTGGGGGGACATTTGTGACACCCAGCTGCCCTCCTGGCCCTGCGGCCGTCCCCTGGGGCTCTGCATTGGGACCGAGAAGACGCAGAGTGCAACCCGGGGCAGGGCGCCACCAGCTCAGCCGGGGAGAGTTGGAGTGCCCCAGCTGGGGGGGATGACACCCCCGATGGGACCCCATTTTGGCCACTGTCGGGGCATGTCCTTGCTTTTCCCCCAGACCCTGAGCCGGGTGATGGGGAAACCTCCTTTGGGCAGCCTGGGATGAGCATCCTCGAAGGACAAATTCTGGGGAGGGGCAGGACTGGAGCAGGGCTCCCCGTGAGCACAGGGGGAACCAGGAGCATCTCCCAGCCATGGAGAAGCTTTACCCATCAGGCTGGCAGGCCAAAACCCCCCAAAACCCCCCTAAAACACTTCGGAAGCCATCACCGATGGGCCATCACCCAGGCGGGGATGTCCCCAGGCGCTGGGAATCAATTACACAACCCTACATGCGCTTCCCCCCCTTACACTCCAAAGTTCTCAGCCCCTGTTTCTCCAATGCGGACCCCTCTGGTGGCTAGCAAGGACCTGCACATTCATGATGCCCGGCGCTGGCAGCTTTGCCGCCTGCCGAAGGAAGAGGGCACCGACTGCGACATCCCAGACCAGCTTCCCTGTGTTCCCGGTACGAACCCTCCTGGTCCCTTCTTTCCCAGCACCCTGGTACAAACCCACCTGGTCAGGGGGCATCAAAAAGGCAGAAACTCCCCCAAAAAGGAGCAAAGCCCCAAGCATGGTGGGAGGCAGGATGGGGTCGATGGGCACCATGAGGAATTTGGGTGGGCGATAGCCACGTGGCGTGGCAAGCACCGTGCCTCAGTTTCCCCGCTGCCCTCTGAGCTCGGTGCCGAGCCTGTCCTTGCCACCCTGCTGGGGCTCATTTTGAGCCAGAAACCCCAAATCCTCCCACTTTCTCCCTGCCTCCACCTCATCTTCCTTCATATGGGAGAGGGCTGAACACCAAAGCGACCCTGGTATTTTTTTTGGCTGAAGTGTGGCACAGCTTCAGCACCCACCCTGTAACCCTGTGATGGGTGCAAAGTCCCTGGGAGGATGTGGGTGCTGGCACACCCGGCACCCTGCAGCCTCCCTGTGCCAGCACCTGGGGCACCCAGCTGGGTGCTGCCGTGCCATGGGGTCCCCCCACCCACAGCCCACCCCCTGGCGGGTGCCCCAGGCTCAAGCATATGCCAGGAAGGCATTTTTGGGGCAGGATGCTGGGGTTTTGGCTGCAGAGGGCTGGGCAGTGGCAAGGCTGAGGGGGGTGCTGTGAGCTGGCGGAGTTGGAGCAAGGACCTCGGGGTGCATCGTTGTCCCCTTGGGGAGGTCATAGCCTTTGGGGGACATTGTGGGGCACAGGCTGCTGGAGACACCGTGTGTGTGTGTGTGTGTGTGTGTGTGCCCAGCCACCCGTGCTGCCTCGCACACCCCTCCCGGTTCCCTTACCCACACAACCACCCCCAACATCCAAATCCCAGCACACCCATCACCCGCTCACACCCTGTTACACCCCCCCTACACCCCAGCACACCCCACCAGGACACACCCGCACAGAATGTCGCCTGGGGGGACTCTGGTCCCTGCAGGGGTGGCAGCCCCTCCTGCCGTGCCTCAGTTTCTCCTCTGTAAGGGGGACCCCGCTCTGGCCGGCAGGATGAGTGGTTCATTTGGGGCCACCAGTGCTGCCCATAGCGGGGATTGGGGGTGCCAGGGCCGGGGGGGTGGCCAGACTGATCCCTACTCCCCCTGCAGAGATCCGCGAAGCCTTCAAGGTGTTCGACCGGGATGGCAACGGCTTCATTTCCAAGCAGGAGCTGGGCACGGCCATGCGCTCCCTGGGCTACATGCCCAACGAGGTGGAGCTGGAAGTCATCATCCAGCGCCTCGACATGGACGGTAGGACCCTGGCACCCTGGGATGGGGGCAGGCCCCCCCGCACCCAATTTGCCCTGTTTCCACCCATTGGCCGGTGGCTGCCGGACCCGATGATGCGGAGGGGCCTGATCCAGGCTCTGCCTTGTGCCCAGAGCCTCCTGCTCATCCGTCTTCACCATCATCACCACCATCCCAGCTTCGTTTAGGAGGATCCTGGAGTGCTTGCGGGTGGGAGCTGCGCCTCTCCTGGCTCGGCAAACCAGCCAGCACCAGGCTGCTGGGGCTGGATCCTGCACCCTGGGCCAGATCCTGCACTCTGGGCCATGTTCTCGTCACTAGCAGGCCAGGCTGTCATCACCAGCAGGCCAGGCTGGCTGTGCACCTCCAGCACTCGCTGCCACCATCGGCTTGTCCCCGTCGCTCCCACACTCATCGGGACCTTAAAGAGCTCGTTAATTTATTGGTTTCCTTTTTTTCCCCCATTTAAAAGCCTTTCTGGCAGCGCTGCCAAGCTGCTGCTCCCTTCATTACTCATCGTTAGTGCCGGCCTGACAGCCCCGACACCAGCATCCTCCGCAGCCGCAGGATACGGCCAGCCTGGTGGAACCCGGCCCCTTCCCAGCACCCCCCGGGGTCACGGCCACCACAGGGGTCCCAGCTGGTGTTGGGGTCCCAGATGGAATTGAGGTTCCAGCTGACGTTTGAGGTCCTGGATGGTGTTGAGAGTCCCCAGACAGCACTGGGGGGGCCCAGTCGACATTGGGGGCGTCCCCAGATGGCATTGGGGTCCCATCCAGCACTGGATGGGACAAATTTTGTTGGAGGTCTTGGGGGTCCTCAGCTTACACTGGGGGTTCCCAAATGGCATTGGGGGTCCCATCCAGCACTGGGGACCCCAGCCAGTGTTAGGCATCCTGGCTGGTGTTGGGGGACCGCTAGTTTTGCTGCAGGTCCCCAGCCAGTGTTGGGGTCCCTGGCTGGTTTTGGGGGTCCCTAGTTACCATTGGGGGTCCCCAGATGGCATTGGGGTGCCAGCTGGCATGGGGGACCCCAGCAGTGTCAGGCATCCTGGTCAATGTTGGGGGACCCCTAGTTTTGCTGCAGGTCCACAGCCAGTGTTGGGGTCCCTGGCTGGTTTTGGACATCCCTGGCCAGCAATGGGGTCCTGGTTGGTACTGGGGGTCTCCAGCCAGTTTGGGGGTCCCTGGCTGCTGAGAGTCTGAGAGTCCAAGGTCCCGTAATACTGACTGATGCTCTGGGCCATTGTGGGGTGGATGGGCAAGATCGGGGGGCTCTGGGCACTGCCTGAGCCTCCCAAGTGCTGTGCCCAGGGGCAGGGTTCCCCCAGAGCAGGGTGTCCCCAGCAGTGCCAAGCCCGTGAGTGGGGCCCCCCTAAAAACATCAAGGCTTGGAGCAGGCCCACCCCCGCCCCAGCTGCACCTCCGAGCATCACCAAGTGCAGGCAGGGTGTGACATCCCCCCCCGCAAGCAGCTCCAGGGGGACCCTTGGGGGGGGGTGGGGCACATGTCCCCATGCCTGGGCAGGGGGTGACGGTCGCCTCTGTGTCCCGCAGGCGACGGGCAGGTGGACTTTGAGGAGTTCGTGACGTTGCTGGGGCCCAAGCTGTCCACCTCGGGCATCCCGGAGAAGTTCCATGGCACGGACTTTGACACCGTCTTCTGGAAGGTAGGGAGCCCCCAACCTCTCCCCCCCGGGGGTCCAGCGCCCCCGGCCTCCGCACCAAGAGTCCTGGGGGATGGCTTGGGGTCAGGGTTGGGATCAGGGTTAAGATGAGGGTTAGGGTCGAGGTTGGGGTTAAGGTTAAGGCCAGGTTAGGATTAGGGTCAGGGCTGGCGTGGGGTGAGGATTAGGATCAGGCTCAGGCTCTGGGTTAGGGTCAGGGTCAGCGTTGGGCTCAGGTTTAGGGTCGGGGTCAGGGCTGGGATTAGGGTGAGGGTCAAGCTCAGGCTCCAGGTTAGGGTTAGTGGAAAGGTTAGGCTTAGGGTTGGGGTCAGGGTTAGGATACATCAGCCTGAGGCTTTTCTGTCCCTGCCTCGGCAGGGGGTTGGGGGTGTGTGAGGCTGGGCACCCAGTGGATGCCCTTCTTGGGAGCCACCAGCCCCGCTCTGACGGGGGGGGGCAGCAGGACACCAGCCCTTTTTCCACCAAAAAGGGGAGGCATCCAGCCAAAATGCAGCACCCAAGGGTGCCGGGGGACCCCCACAGCAACACCACAACCCCCTTGGTGGGGTCCCAGCATGGGGTCAGCCCCCGCCCGAGCCCCCCGCCCGCTCCCCGCAGTGTGACATGCAGAAGCTGACGGTGGACGAGCTGAAACGGCTGCTGTACGACACCTTCTGCGAGCACCTCTCCATGAAGGACATTGAGAACATCATCATGACGGAGGAGGAGAGCCACATGGGCACGGCCGAGGAGTGCCCGGTCGACGTGGAGAGTGAGTGCCGGGCAGCCGGGGATGCCCGATACCCCTGCCCAGCCCCGACGCCATGGGCATGGCACTGGGTACCTGGGCTATGGGGGGGGACACACACCTTGGGGTAACCCCCCGGCTCTCCCCCCCAGCCTGCTCCAGCCAGCAGATCCGGCAGACCTGCGTGCGGAAAAGCCTCATCTGCGCCTTTGCCATCGCCTTCATCATCAGCGTGATGCTCATCGCCGCCAACCAGGTGCTGCGCAGCGGCATGAAGTAGCGGGGCTGCCCTGAGCGCCTGCCTCCGGCCACCGATGGGGAGCCACACCGAAAGCGGGGCGTACAGAGAGATCCAGATTTGAATCAGACACTCAAATCCCCCCTGCCCTGGGAGGGGGGCAAACTCGAGGGGGGAAGACCCACACCGTGTCCCCGCTGTCCCGGGGCAATGCGATCGCATGGCTGTTTGCAGAACGTGGAAACTTTGATAAAGAGACACAAATACACAAAAAAACCCCTCAACCCTTGCCAGGAAAAAAACCAAACAAACCTGTAAGTGCATGTAACGTGCATGGAGCCCCGTGTGCTGCCCCCTCCCTGTGCTGGGGGTGGATTGCCCCCCCGGGCACAGGATCCCATCGGATACACCGATACTAGCGTCTATAGCTCTATATTTATGATAAAAACCAAATCATCCCCTAAGCAATACACGCGCCTGCGATGGTTTCGTTTGAGATGGGAGCGTTTGCATGGACTTGGCTGCCAAGGGCTGGATTTCACACCCCCTCCAAC